CCCCAAAACCCCAAAACCCCAAAACCCCGCAATAGAAAATTCAATGGTATACGAGCATTTTAAAATATTTTAAAGAAATAAAGGCTTTTAACTAAGGTTCAAATTCTAAAGAATTTTCTTCTAGTTTTGATTCTTGAGATTTTAATTATGAGTGGTGTTTTTATTGATAGTTTAATTCTAATTTTAGATTTTATTGCTTTTGATATTCTAATTTGAATTATTTCTGAGCTAGATTTACTGATTCTATCTGAGATGTGCTTTGTTTTGCTATTAAGGTACTATTTACTACTACTCTTAGAGTTTTTATTTTTATAGTTATGAAATCAGCAATTTGTTTTATATCTGCTATATTTATTGGTGCAAATGCTGTTTCAATTGCTATTTCACTTTTTCTTTAACCTACTGATTGGAGTCTTGCTTAATTTACTCCTAAGCTGATTGTTGATCAGTCTATAGTTTGAGTGCAAATGTCTTTTTGATTACCTATTATCTATCTGGCCTTATAACAAATTTTTATTGCTCTAAAGAGCCTCTATGCCCGAAAGTACTTGGCCAACTGGCTTGATTTTCAGCAAGATTTTTGGATAAGTCAACAATTTTGATTGATTATGACTCAGTCCTTAGTTATAACTATTTAATTGGTGCTTTGGATTATGCTCTTGGCTATACATCATTGCTTAAATTTTATTTCAATTTATTCTATCCATTCCCATATTCATAATGAGGCTATTAATCTTTTTTATTTTGAGATTAACTTTTACTGTTCGAGCACTAGGATGAATTTTACTATTACTATTCTATTTTCTTTAAATTCTAGTCAAAAGTTGAGAAAAATAAAGGATTATTTTGCTTTTAAGAGAGAATGGTACCTGTGCATCCAGTAGCTACGGTATCATTCATAAATCTGAAGGCCTAATTTTCGTCTATGCTTTTTTCGCTTTCACTATCACTAAAGTTTATATTAGATAATGGGTTATCATCAGTTTCAAATGTTCTATTTCTTTACTCAGAAAGCATTAAATTATTTTAGCTTTAGTTTCTTGATAATACTTCTATAGTCTTTATTTCCTCGAATTCCTATAATGAATTTATTAGGATGAGTATATACTTTATTTTTTTTATCTGAGCCCAATAAATGCATTTGATCAATTAAATCTTTAAGTTTATTTGTTTACTCATATGCTTGGCAAAGCTTTTTATAATTTTAGAGGTCTTGTCCTCTTAATTTGTAGCTTGAGGGAAATTTATCATAAATTTGATGAATATAAGGCCTATCCTTAATATCTTTTTGGAGAATATATGTTAAAAATTCGTTAAGTTTCTTTGAATGGTTACTAAATATATATTTGAAAAAATAAGTAAGATACTTACTTCTTTGGGAAGATTAGTTTCTTTTGAAGTATAGATTTCATAAGCTGCTATATCGATTCCTCATTAAATGGGAGTTTCATGAAAGTCATGAAGTAAAAAGTAATGCCTAAAGACCAAACATCGCTCTAAATTAGGATTAAAGTAATAATACATTACTCTAAAGTCATAGTACTGCTTTCTGATTAGTTCTGGAGCCATAGTAAATGGACTACCAACTACTCTTTTACCACATTTTATTAACTTTCCAAATTTTAATTTTCTAGATTCACTGAAATCTCCTATCTAATAAATATTAGGATAAATATTACCTTTAGCAGATATTTATCTATGACAAAGATATTCATTGGCTTGATGTCTCGATGAAGAATGTTATTTGCATGCATATGCAATACACCTCAAAATAATTAGAAGTAGAAATCCCATAGTAAATCCTCATTCCAGCCACTAAAGGTTCCTTAGCATTTTACAAACTGCATAAATTACGATTAAAAAAATCATACTTTCGAGAGATCTCCATTTTTTGCCTGTTCCAACACAAGATATAAAAATTTCCTTCCCTTTTCATCTGTTTCCATAAATGATTTTTTCATTTTCAATATTGCTGGGTGATTGCCTAATATCTGATGTATCCTGACTTCTCAGAGATAATTCTTCATGTATATAACTAGTTCCTTTTGCTTTTTATTAGCTGATGAAACACCACTAAATATACAATCATTATTACGGGGCTTGCTTGTTTACATAGGCTTTTTAATCTTTAACTTGATCTTTTTCAAAGCATATGTCTTTTTGTTATACTTGTTCATAACCTATAACACTTCACTATTAGAACCTTCTCCAAGTTTTGTTAGAATCTCGAACGTTTTAAGAGATAATTTATTTTATTTAATCTTTTTACCAGATGTGTTTATTGTTGGTCTTTGTATTGAGGCAGTTTATGGGCGGATTCTTTTGAATTATGATAATTATACGCTATTGGTTGGACTTATTAGAAGTGAAGGTAAGGGCTATAGATGACTATCATTCTAAATGATTTATGCAAGAACTATGGAATTAGTTCTAATTTCTTGGGAACCCTGCATTAAATTTTTGATTTAATTTATGAAAATGAGTAAGTCAATTTTAATTTGGATTAATTTGATGGTAAATGAGAATTTCAACTCAAGGGGTTTTGGGGTTTTGGGGTTTTG